TCTGTGTCAATTTTATACCAGAAGTTTTATTATTATTTGTATTATTTATTTTTTTTTGTTGATAATTTTCAGTAACTATGATATGCATATATAATTATATACTGACTAAAAACAAACTGACATCTGTCTCTGATAACTAAGGTTAAACGTGAAACCAATATATGATTTATTATTTTTCATAGCAGTTCACGGCAAGAATTATATAATCTATTTGTATACGTAAAACTGCAAGAAAACTATTTCTACTTTATGATTTAATTGATGATATGTCTATTCTTTCCGAAATTTCTAGATAAGAAAGTAGAACTGTTAGGGAACATTTATGGCAAAATTTTAATGCAGTAAACTTTAGACACATCATATCTTACAAAAGCCTCTTTCAACGAGAAACCATCCAGATATATTTAAGAAAAAATTCAAAGTAATTCATAATTACATTAATGTTATTATAATCATCTCTTTCGAAAGTGTATTGTAGAGGAGAAAATATATATTATATACTGTAAGCTGTAAGAAAAAACTAACTTTTTGTTTCGATAATTTGCACAAAGTCTGTCACTTTGTCAAAATGTATAAAGTATTGGCCAAACCAAACCAAAACACAACACTGCTTTTATAGACCGAAATGGGTAAATATAAACTCTAAATGTAGATGGTGAGTATTCCAACATATGAAAGTCAAAGATTTACATAAACAAATTAGCATTTAACAGCCGTTATCATAAGGACCTCCTTTTGAAATGAGATACAGTTACGTGTTTCTTAGATTTAGAATAAAACTTACATTTCCATTAGAATAGCTTAGCCTTAAAATAGAGAAGGGAGACGTTTTTTTTATATATATATATATATATATATATATATATATATATATATATATATATATATATATATATATATATATATATATATATATATAATATTCTTATTGTTTTCTTCTTTTATCTAATTCTAATATTCCGTTATTTACGTCCACTTCGTTTTTCTCTTAAAATAAATATTATACGATACTTACATATTGTTCCTTGTGTTCTGCCTAACTGTAGAACACCGTATATTACATAGTAATATCCAAAATGAGTAGAGAATAAACAAAATGGCTTCATCGATCTACGACGAAGAAATCGGAGAGCTACGATCCGCACTGCACCGTGCACGAAAGACGAATGGATACCGACCGCCGCGCCAGGGCCGGCGCCGCCACCTAGACTGGTACCGGGAGGGAATTTAGCTTATAGCTTTAAAATTGTGCACGCAGGGACGGTACTACATATAGAAAAATCAAGATAATACATTCGGACTGGACGCGAATATAATAATAATAATAATAATAATAAATGTCTTTATTTAGTACCCAAGAAAAACAAATACAAAATATAATAATAAAAGATGCGGCGAGATCTAGCACAATGCTACTCCATCTAACCGCACTGTTAAATATAAGCTTAACAACTAAATTCTAAGTCTAAGTTTTTTCGTGAGCAGTAACTAATGACACTAAAAGATTATAGAAAACAATAATATGATAGCAAAGGCGAGCATTAAGTGAACAAACTAAAAACAGAAATAATTATAAGTTATTTTAAAATAATACTCTCGACGAAATTAAATACTTCTCTCATTCACATAATGACGCTTGACAGCCTTCCTGAATGAGCCAACAGAGGGCCTGCATAATACACTATTTGGTAAACCATTAAATATTTTTACAGCAGAATAACTAAATGAGCCTCGAAACTTGGAAGTTCTATGTTTAGGTACAACAAAATTTCGGGAGTTACGCGTTGCCCGACCGTGGATACTATTATTAGTAATTAATTTGTCATATAAGTATTTAGGGAGTTGACTGTGACGAACTTTATAAACAAGGGTAGCTAAGTGAACATTGAATCGTTCGTCCAATGTTAACCAGTTGGACGCCTCTAACAATGGGGTGACATGGTCAAATTTTCTTTTGCCAAAACTAAACTTTAAGCAGGCATTTTGAAGCTTTTGTAGGCTATATCTATTTCTTTGTGTAATGGCTGGCCAGAATAAAACATCACTATAGGAGATCATAGATAACACCAAAGAATTAGTTAACCTTAACTTAATATCAGTAGATAGAATATTTGCATGCATGTAAAGTACTTTTAATTTATAATAAGCTTTTTGCAGGACGCTGGACACATGATTTTCAAATTTAAGTTGGTTATCCAACAATATGCCTAAGTTTTTTTCACAGCTTGAAGGTACAACTAGTGTGCCATCAATAATAACTTCCATACATTGATGATCAGGCATGCCAAATAACAACAATTTGGATTTGCTTCCATTGAGTACCAGCTTGTGAGATTTAGACACCTTTACAATCGTATCAAGATCTGAATTAATATTTCTTAAGGCATTATTGACATTAGATAATTGAAAAGAGTGGTATATTTGGGTGTCATCAGCGTATTGATGAGATTTACAAACAGTTAAAAATTCGCTAAAGTCGCAGGTGTACAAAGAAAATAATAAAGGTCCTAGTATACTACCCTGTGGGACACCCTGGTTGACATCTGTGTACTCAGAAAACGTAAATGCCAGCCGTACTCGTTGTTTCCTATTACTTAAATAATTATTAAAAAGTATAAGAGCGGAATCATGGAGACCAAAATATTTTAGCTTGGTGAGAAGTAAATTATGATCAAGGGTATCAAACGCTTTGCTGTAGTCCAACAGTACAAGTGCAGTCACATTTCCACTGTCTAATGAACGAAAAATATCATCACAAACATGCAAGAGCGCTGTTGTGGTGCCATGCCGCGCTCGAAACCCAGATTGTGTCACGGGTATTATAGAATTATTTAGAACAAATTCATTAAGTTGTGTAAACATAATTCGTTCTAATATTTTAGAGAAAATGGGTAGAATACTTATAGGACGATAATGAGAAAGTTCACTAGGAACGTCATTTTTTGGCACCGGTATTACATCTGCCATTTTCCAGCTTAATGGAAATGTGTTTGAAGAAAGAGCTTTATTAATGATATAAGTTATGTAGGGTGTCAAATATGGAATCAATAAAGTAATCATTTTTATGTCGATGCCATCAGAGCCAACAGAAGATGTTTTAATTGAATATATGATTCTTTCAACTTCAGCTTCATTAACTTCTTCAAATTTAAAAGCATTGTGAACATTTGGATGAATTTTATTAGAATATTTATCTATAAATTGATTATTATTTGTCACTCCTATTTGAGGAATGCTGCTAATGAAAAAAGAATTAAGCTGATCAGCCGCATCAGAGGTCTGGAGCAAGGCAGATGCATCGGAGCTTTTAGAAGTAATGTTAAGGTTATTTAAAGTTTTCCAAAAAGAAGCAGGATCTAGTCTAAATTTATATTCAAGATAAGCTTTTTTTTCGTTCCGTACAGCACTTGTTACCAGATTACGAAGCTGCTTGTATTCATATAGAGAGGTATCAGTTTTTAACTTTTTATATCTTGTGAGAGCCTTCTGGCGCAGCTTCATCATAAATTTGATATTATCGGTAATCCAGGGAGCGGGGGGTTTAGAAAACCTAGATGTTTTAAGTGGTGCATGTATATTAAATACGTCTGTTATATTTTTTTGAAAAAAAGTAATCATCTGATCAATATTAGTCATATTAAATATGTTTTGCCAGTTCACGTTAAAAAGATCATTCACAAAATCTGTAAGAACAAAATGTGAATAATCACGATAAGTGCGATAGGAAATGGGCACACGATTTTTTTGAAGATCTAAATCTGTTAATACTAGATGATGGTCAGATATATTATCCATATTAATAACCTGCACATCTGATATTAGTTTTGGGTTAGATGTAACCAAAACATCAATTAATTTACCCCCGAATTGAGAAATACGAGTGGGCGACTGCACTAATTGCGTTAAATTATATTTATTGAAGAACTGATTAATGGCAGAGCACCCAGGGCTTCCCGCTTCCAACATATCCACATTCAAGTCACCGCCAAACATGACAACATCGCAATCAGGCAAAAAACTAACAATGGCATTCTCCAGATCATCCAGAGAAGATGCCAAATTGGCCATGGGGGGTCGATATAATGTCCCGAAGCAAATAATTTTACCATTTATTTTAGTACGTATCCAAAGTTGTTCCAGGGCACTCTGCTGGGCAGATGTATCGATTACCTGAAATTTTAAAGAATTGACAACATAAAATGCCACTCCGCCACCACGGCCATCTCTGTCTTTGCGAACGAGATTATAGTTATGTATTTTAAAATTGTTGCTACTCAAAGGCTCACTCAACCATGTTTCCGAGAGACCATAAATATCAAACGCCTCTGCCGCCACATAATCAGAAAAACTGTCGAAATCTGAACATAGTGATCTTATATTAAAATGAGAAAAATAAAATTTATTTTTATTACTGCTCGCCGAAGCCATATAAGACGCTAAACAAAAGTAATGTGCACAGAAAATTTAAAAGAGAAATAGATCTACAATAATGAGATATAATTCTCGTTCAGCGAATAAATACGAGCCCATCAGATATTAGATTAAAAAAAAATAAAAATAAATCAAGCATACAACGGTATAATCAAAAACAAGGTAATAAAACAGTACATATCTGATGAACTTATAACGAAGTAAAAATATTCTATCATTATATTGTTTTTTTTAGCAATGAGACCATAGAAACAAAAAAGAAATATCTAACATTTTTTGTCGAATAAATTCTCTACAGCGAGAAAAAATGAAAATTTTATAGTTAAAGAATCACAATAGTACTATAGTCCTTTGCAGGTACCTATACGCAGGCAAATATATATATGTATATGTAAAAAAATATTAATTTCGATTAGTTATTAGTAATCATACATTGTAATCGCAAAAAAGAGAGTAAAAATATTCCAAGGTATTAAATATATTCACATTAAATAAATTATAAAAATAGACACCAGTGCTGGTAGAGAAAAAAAAAGGATATGTATTTCGCAAAAAAGCCAACATGGATTTTAAACATTGTCTGCCTCTTTAAACGCTTGTACGCTGTTGCCATCATTAACCAAAATTCTTCCATATGTCGACCATGCGTTTCTCATGCCATATTTCCTTCTTGCTGCCAGCAATACTTGATGTTGCTTTGCTGTCAGGTCCTCGTTAATGTAAATGCCTGTCCCCTTAAGATTTCTTCTGTTATTAAAAACTTCATTGCGTTTTAAGACTGATGTGAATGAAACTATTGTTACTCTTGATTTCCCAATTTCCATTTTACCCATTCTATAAACATTGTTAATTTCTTGCAAACAACATTTCACCCTTACAGCATCATTGAGTAGAGTAAGCATTTTAGACACTAAGTTTTCGTCTGAGCCATCTTCCAAACCAACAACTCTTAAAGAATTTTGTCTGATTTTATATTCGAGGTTATCCATTCTTCCTTCCATCTTTATTATAGACTGTCTATTGGACTGGGTCATACTTTCTATTGTATTAAGTTTCTCCATAATACTCCCAACACTGTTTTCTATTTTTTCAAATCTGTTACTTAAGTTTTCCAACTGATTCTCAATTCTTTGATTCAATTTTGGGACGAGCTTAGTTATTATCGTCTCTAGTTGGTTATCATCATGGGGATTGGACACTGACGCACTTCTAGTTCCTTTACTCATGTTAAATCCAAATGAAGATCTGGCAACCTCGAATCTCGAAAATATTAACGAAGCAAATATTCAACTAATATAATCAAACCAGGTATTCAACTTTTTTTCTCCCTTAAGTCTGTCAACTTTACCTTCTATTTCTATTCAACTTTCAGGGAACAAACATCAAAACAACCGTTAAAATGCCAACTAAACCGTGAGCTCGTACAAATCGCTGTTTATCTAGCCATAGCCAAGCTTATACTAATATAAAATAAAAAATATTTACTTACGTTTACTGGAACTAACACCGGTTTGGGGCGTGGTACTTCCCACAATTTGTTCAACTAAAAAACCACACATATAATTTTTTTTTGAAAAATATACAATAAATAAAAAACTCACCATTAGCAACCTATTTTAAAATGTTTTGTCAAATTACTCTTTTTTGAAAATATTTTTTGACATAGACTGCACACAAACATTTTTTTTATTTTTACACGGCGGTGAATCAACTAGTTACAACGAGAAGTGATTATAGACTGATGTGAATTGAATACTGCGAGCTGTTTTGCTGGGAACCCAACAGGAAACCGCAAAACTGACAAGACTAGTTTGCAGTACAATGTATTTTTCACCAAGTTTGATTTATATTATTTTTACTTAAATATTTATCGCTAAAATTGATCTGGAAATATTCTAGAAGAACAAAAATATGACATCATAACCGTCATACCGGAAACCACAAACCGATGACTAGTTTACAGTATAATGTAATCACACTAAGTTTGATTTATTTTATTTTTACTTAAGTATTTATCGCTAAAACCGACAATGGTGACGAATCATCACGTATTGCTTTTACGTCGTATATTACAGTTTATTTTTTTTTTTTCACACACTGTATATATTCAAAAAATCTTTTTTTATGTTATTATCAATTTTCCCATATAATATTTTTGTTAAATTACCCAGTAGCATGGCTAATTAATTTATTAAACAATATTTTTAAACCATAGATGACAATTTTTTTGACAGGTGACAGGTTTGACGTTTGAAATTTGACATGTGATAGCCCCTTCTCCTCGCGCATTTGCAGTGCCCCTCCTCGCGCATGCGCAGTGCGCCTGCTCCTTCGGTTCCTGCTCCTCCTCCTCCTGATGGTGAATCGGCCATCTCCCTCTACTACCCCTGTTTTGAATAACAATAACAAGATTAGGATAAATTGTGGTTAACCGTGGTCGTCGTCATCGATTGAAGAAACCGTTATAATCATGTTGAATGAGACTAAAAATACTAGTTTTATTTCACCAAAATATACCGAAAAAGATATATAATTTTCGTGAGTAAGGGGTAATATATTTATTTGCGCCACGTTGGAAAGGTTTTGAATCTTCCTGAGACCCGGAGAGGTCTTTTTTTATTTGATCAATATAAAATTTTACAGTTGTTGCGAGACGGCAAAAATAAACAATTTTTGTTAACAATTTTTTTTGTTTTGTTTTTATTTTTTATGAATTCATAGAGATGACGGTGGTTTTTTCTAAATGCACCCGATAAAAGCAAAAGGCCAAATACTGCTTTTATTTCCGTTATATTTGTTTCGCCATAATGAGGCGAACTTTTCCATTTAGCCGATTTTTCGAAATTCGAATATTTGTATGCTGAACTATTCCAGCTATCATTTGGTCGTCAATGAAGAGTAAAAATCATTCAAGGGTATTTCGTACATCCTTCGCATAGCTCTTGACTTTTGGAAGAAGATGTGTAATAATATTTTATGCTCTTGTTCTTACATTTTTGTTAGGGTAGGCTTTAGACTTCATACCATTTTTGCCCACGAAAAAATCGACTTGTTTGAATTTCGTTGTCCACATTTTCTGATATTGATTGTTCATCTGATACATTATCGAATTAGACTTGACTGTAAGATTAAAATGATAGTATGAAAATGAATAGTTTCAATAGTTTGAGAGTACAAGAAATAATATAATGTAAATAAAATAAAGTGTAAAATAATTTAACATTTTAATTTTTTTTCAAAGAAGACCTAGTTCTTCGAGTTGGAATTTCTTGGAGGTCGATTTCTTCATAATCGTGTATACTTTCGATTGACGGTACACGGGATAAGGCTTCTGGTGGTAATGGCATATGAGGTCGAGAATACGTGGGATTGGTTAATCCGGAGACTTGATAGATCTTGGATGTCGTTCAATGGTGGATTCTTCACTGGCTGTAGATTGAATATTGCTGTGCGTCAGAGTATTATGACTTTTGAAGCACACGAGGTGGTTGCATCCACTGCGCTGGAGTAGTCTGCGGAATCATGAAAATAAAGGCCATCGGCATTTGCGGCAGCAACACCAGCAAACTAAGAACATAGTAAAAATTAACGTTAGCATGCCTAAAAGGATATTATACTAACGGGACCAATGGTATAGATTTTCTCCCATTCTTTTCTGAAGTTCTTCTACAAATTTGTCTTGCATGTGCGACTGCAACTTTAGCATGTCTTAAAAAATTAACGTTAGCATGCCTAAAAGGATATTATACCTTCGGGATCAATGGTATGGATTTTCTCACATTCTTTTCTGGAGTTCTTCTACAAATTTGTCTTGCATGGTTTAACTCATTCAAGTTAAGGTTGGACAATTTAATGGATTCCATGTCTTCGCTAAATAGATAATCTTGCTGTTTGATAGAACAGTCATCCATTGTAAGTAAGATCGACAGACGGTATAGCGTCTGTATAGTTCCTGGAATGATTGGATGTTGCAACTAGCATAGCAGATAATGTAGAACATTTACATCTTGATTGTGATGTAAAAATTCCAATGCCTTGTATACTGACGTCTATTATCTGATTTGATAGATCACAATTTATTGTTCCTAGGACAGGATGTGTAACAATAAATAACCATTGATTTTTAGATCCGAAAGCTCGATATCTGATTTTAAGACCTTGGTGTTACATGTTTTGGAAGCTGCACGAGGTATTTTGTTTTTAATTCAACTTCGCAGGTGGATCTTTCCTTTACTAAATAGGTTATTACTTGATTTGCAGATGAATTCTTCAGGTGGACTTGAAACACAACTTGATAGATCCTTAAGCTCGCTGTAGTATGTTCTGGTTGAGATCAGTAAAAGGTTAAGAAAAGGCTGGGTTTATATAGGAATAGACTGAAGTCTTATTTACTTTATAGGAAGAGGTATTAAGTTATAAAGTTTAAAATGGCCATTTATTACTAATGGTATATTTGTAACAAAAATTATTTTTTTACTATAAAATACTGAGTTTCCATATCTCTAGAAATCTATGGGCTTTCTCGACATTTTGAGGATCGAAAGGAAATTCAGAGTTAGAGTTGAATATAATTTTTAATAATTCTTATCTCAAGTTTCTAGAAGTAATTATAGAAGGATTTAATACATTTTGTTTAGAAAATAAGATGGCATATGTAAAAACGTCAAATTCTTCTTTTAATTTGTTTACTAGTTAAATCAATAAATTTAAATGATGAGTTACCGTTTGAGAATAAGTTAATGAGTTTATTCGTCTTGCTGTTCAATTTGAAAATTTATTAAATTTCTTTTATGTTTTGATTCAAAGTTTCTTGATTAATCAAAATAGATTGTGCTGTTTTATTATAAGAGTTTAAGTAGTCATTCCGGCGCTTTGGCTAGACAGCCACTTTCGGTCCAGACAGAATTCCAGGAACCCAATCAGCTAAGAACATGTAAAATAGGATAATAAACAAGAATAAACAGGTTTGAATTGCTTTGAACCGCTTTTGAACTGCTTTGAACGGCTTTTTAGTGTAAAAGAACAGACCTGTTCAGTTTTTGTTCAAACCCGTTTATTTCTGTTTTAAACGGTTCAAAGCGATTCAAACCTGTTTATTCTTGTTTATTTGCCTTTTTTAAATGTTCTTAGCTGATTGGGTTCCTGGAATTCTGTCTGGACCGGAAGTGGCTGTCTGGCCAAAGTGCCGGAATTACTACTCTCCTGCATTATCAAGTGTTCTAAAAAATATAGTTTATTTTAAAATGTGTTAAGATAGAAAAAATATTATTATAATAAAATAAAATAGTTCGTTACTGTTAAAAAATAATAGAAGAATATGTTAAAATAATTAAATAGTTAAATATGTTAAAATTATAATAAAAATATATAATTACACAATATAAAATAAAATAGTTACTTACTGTTAGTGTCAGAGCACATCCTCATCCTTTTCAGGGGCGTTGTCTCTGATTTTTGGAGTTTAGGTTGATCAACTGAAATAATAGAAAAAATATTTAATATAAAATAAAATAAAATATTTATTTACCATTACAAATCTTCGTATGTCTTATTAAACTATCTTTTCTGGCAAATGTTTGACCACATGTGCTGCACGTATCTAAAATAAAAGGTATCAAGCGACCTTCGGTCTTCCTCTAGTTTTTTGCGTAGATCCGCGGATTCGGTATAAAGTTGAGAAATGTTAAAGTTTTTGTGGAAAGTTTTTTTTTAAATTTTTTTTGGAACACATAAATATATTTGATATTTGTCGTTTTTTATTTATTATGTGCCGACATGTTTGAGATTATTAAACACGATTATGAAGAAACAATGTTAAAATTCCATCATTTTTTGCTTTAAAAATCGATTTAAAAATTTGAAGTTTTCAATGTCACTTTTGCATTTATCTATGGGGTGTTTTAAAAGTTGTTTTTTTTGTCCTGAAATTTCTAAGATATATTTTTTCTTTTTTAATAAGTCTCTTTTGTTATATCCCGACATGTTTGAGATTATTAAACACGATTACGAAGAAACAGCGTTAAAATTCCATCATTTTCTGCTCTAAAATTCGATTTAAAAATTTAAAGACTAGCGGCCCCTGGCCGCTTTTATAAAACACCACTGCCAAGAAACATTGTTGAAATTCCCTCATTTTCTGCTCTAAAATTCGATTTAAAAATTTGAAGTTTTCAATGTCACTTTTTGCCTTCATCTATGGGGTGTTTCAAAAATTGTTTTTTTTATC